CGTAGTTGACTCTTAACTTTTATAAAGAATATCTCTTTGGATTTGAGACTTTAGTCTTTGCAACTTTACAGATCTTCTTTATGCACCAAGAGCTTGTAACACTTCAAAGAGAAAGGAAAAATTTAAATCGCATCATATGACACCTTTAAGAAAAACTGAAATGTACTTATAGATTTCAAATATTTTAAATATTGCCATAGACATTAAATATTTCTAAATGAACAAATATTGAGTTAAATCGAGCTCGGAATTGAATGTTATTCAATCGAGAGGTTGTCAATCAGAATCAAATCATGAAATTTGTATCAATACCCAGCCCTACTGCTGCATACAATCTAGAGGAAGCAATGAAACTAGCAATCTGACGGATTAAACCAAAATCCATGCAAAGTTAAGATGCAAGAGATCAGGAGCCATGGTGATGATCACTAGGTTAATGCTTCAGTTCTCAAAAGCCTTGACCTGAACTCAGATTTTTCCAGCCAAGATAAATAGAGGAAGAGGGTGGTAGAAGGGGTTTCCCAAGCTGTTACTCTGTTCCTTACCACCAGTTCCACCTCTGCTATTGGGTTTGCCTTCATCACGGCCCCCTCCTCCGAGGTCTTTATCTGGCAGGGACAGGAGATGCCATCAAACCTGGCTGGCTTGGATTAATCCACACTGACTAGCCTAAGTTTCCCAATGATAGACTGTAAGGGCAATATTATTGACTTTATTGAGTGATTCCTTTGGCTATGCTTTTGATGACCTTCAAGATTACACAGGCTTTTACAGACAATGGACAAAATGGATAATGATGCTGCACAATATGTGATGTTTCAATTGGAAACAGAGGGCCCTGTATTTTCTCTATATTTCTACTTCTGTGTTATATTGCATTATTTAATTTTCTGTTTTTCTTATATTTGTGTTTCATCTCTACTGTGTAATTCCTATGTATGGCTGCTTGCACAGTCTTGTATGCTTGTATGCTTGCACTGTCTGGACTTTCTTCTGCACTGAAAGCTCCTGTCGCCAAGACAAATTCCTTGTGTGTGTAAACATACTTGGCAATAAAGCTCTTTCTGACTTCTGACTGAACTACTAAATTGCAAAAAATGAAATATGGAGAAAGGTAAAAGTGGATAAACAGAATACCTACCGCCTTTGCCAGAGTCTTTGCCCTTTCCTCTGATGTCATTGTCGGGGCTCAAGGCATCTTCAAGATTCAAGTCCCCAAAATCTATCAGCCAAAAGAAATACTCACTGTGTAACAAATGAAATATGCACAGTACCAATTAGGGCTGGGCGATATGGCAAAAATCATATCTCGGTATTTTTTGGCTGAACTACGATCAATTTTCTACATTTTTCTATTTAGATTAAATATATATATATATTTATTTACTTTTATTTTTTACATCCTGCCCAATGTTGTCCAATGAAACAATGTTTAAAGGCAATGAAAACAAATATAGTGAAAGAAACCATGTAGGCTATGCTATATATTGTGCAAAAAAGAGGCTAAAATCACATTGCATTCTAAAATTGTAACATTACAATCTAAAAACAAAAACAATGCTATTTAAAGCAGAAGTTAAATTCACTAAACTAAAAATGAATAGAAATAAGAACAAAAGCACAGATTTAATTGCATTATATTTTCATTACCCCATTACAATAGACACTTTACTGCTATCATAAAATACACTTAGATCACTTTTGGGTTTAAAATTCTACACATGGCACATTTATTGTCCAACTACAAATATTTTAGTAAAATGTATACTGAAGTCTGTTAAGTTTAGTGGAGAATTGCATGCAGTAGGCTCGTGCACTCCTGACAGCAAAATGGAAATATTTCCATGACTTTCTAACATTTACAGATGGAGAATATACCTGTGAAATGTAAGTTATGCACATCTCAAACCCATTAAACAGTGCTAGTAGCATCTCTGTCAGCAGCACATGAGTCTGTCAGAGTATCTGACTGGATCGAGCCGCTTTAAACCATATGTGTTAACTATATCTTACCAGTTATTTTAAAGCCCTTAATATAAAGCATCTCT